ACCCAGGAGTCGCGCCCGTTGTGGCCCCATGTGCATGCCCTTCGTGGCCCTGCTGTCGCCATTTGTGTCCCCCTCATTGTCCTACGTGGCCCAGTTGCTACCCTCAGTGGCCCCATCGTTGCCTTCTGTGGCCCCGCATTATCTGCACTTCGTGGCCCCCGCTCGTTCGCGCTCTTCGTGGCCCCATACGCATTCCCTTTGTGTCCCCGCTGTCGCCCTTCGTGGCCTACTTCGTGCCCTGCGTGGCCCTGCTGTCGTTCTCTCTCGCTCTCGCTTTCGCTCGTCGTCGCCGTCGTCTTCGACGTCGTCGTCGTCGTCGTCGTCGTCGTCGTGGTCGGTCCCCTGTCCGTCCCTCTTGTGGTCGGGTCGACGGTCCGCGGCCGCCCCGCCGATCAGCGCTGCCGCTGGCCAGGCCGACGGTCCGCGGCCGCCCCGCCGCTTGCGGGGGCCCGGCCTGCAAGGAAGAAAGGTATACCCCCCAAAAGGGGCTCGATCGAAGACCGAGAGGGCGGGTATCGAGGGTTTGGGACATACGCATTATTGGACACTCGAGCATATAAGGGCGAACAGTCTTAGAGTTATTGTTGCTGTTGTTGTTGTTGTTGTTGTTGTTGTTGTAATCCGGGGGTCCAGGGGCTCAGTTTGAGCGGGATTATTTTCCCTGTCGAAAAAACAGGGTGCGAGCGTCGAGGGGCACACTTTGATTGAGGAAAAACCGCATGCACCGGTGAGGGGGGGTCAGCAATCATAGTTTTTCCAGAAGTGAGAGTTCAACGGCTCCCACCTGAGACTTCCTCACAATTTAGCCAGGACCTCCGCTCCCGCCTGAGATTTATCCGGGGAAGTCACTGCGATCAAACGGCGATGTTGCCCACCGGATTACAACAACAACGGCTCCCGTTTGAGAGTTCTTCACAATGTGGTTAGGACCCCCGCTCCCGCCTGAGATGTCCTCGCGTTTTACTCAGGAATCGCGCTCTCGCTTGGGACCCCCTGACAATTTATTGTGGAATCGCTGTCTCAGCGCTCTGGAGTCGCGCTCTCGCTGGGGACTCGCATGCAATTTACTGAAGAATCGCGCTCTTGCGTTAGAGCCCCCCCGCAATTTACTCAAACGCCGTGTTCCCGACATTCAGGCGCCCAGGAGTCCCGCTCACGCTATGGACTTCCTCGCAGCTTATTCAGGAATCGGGGTCTTGCTGCCCTTCGTGGCCCCGTTGCTGCCTTTCGTGGCCCCCTCGCTGCCCTTCGTGGCCCCGTTGCAGCCCTTCGTGCCCCCCCCGCTGCCCTTCGTGGCCCCGTTGCAGCTATTCGTGGCCCCCTCACTCCCTTTCGTGGACCTGTTGCAGCCCTTCGTGGCCCCCTCGGTGCCCTGCGTGGCCCCGTTGCACTCCTTCGTGGCCCCCTCAGAGCCCTGCGTGGCCCCGTTGCAGCCCTTGGTGGCCCCCGCGCCGCCCTTCGTGGCCCCGTTGCAGCCCTTCGTGGCCCCCTCTGTGCCCTGCGTGGCCCCGTTGCAGCCCTTTCGTGGCCCCCTCTGTGCCCTGCGTGGCCCCATTGCGCCCCTTCGTGGCCCCCTCGCTGCCCTTCGTGGCCTTCTATACTTGGCCCCCTCTCCCCTTTCGCATCCGTTCGCGCCCTTCGTGGCCCCATACGCATGCGCCTCGTGGCCCCGCTGCTGCCCTTCGTGGCCCCCTCGATGCTATTCGTGGCCCCGTTGCTGCCCTCAGAGGCCCCGTCCTTGCCCGTTGCGGCCGGATATATGTATGCCCCTCGTGGCCCCCGCTCGTTCGCGCCCGTCGTGGCCCCATATGCATGCCCTTCGTGGCCCCGCTGTCGCCTTTTGTGGCCCCTTCGCTGTCCTATGTGGCCCCGTTGCTACCCTCAGTGGCCCCGTCGTTGCCCCTTGTGGCCCCGCATTATCTGCCCTTCGTGGCCCCCGCTATCGCCCTTCGTGGCCCCTGTCCTGCCCTGCGTGGCCCCGCTGTCGCTCTCGCTCTCGCTCGGTCCCTCTTGGGGTCGGGCTGCCGCCGATCAGCGCTGCCGCTGGCCAGGCCGACGGTCCGCGGCAGCCCCGCCGCTTGCCGGGGCCCGGCCTGCAGGGAAGAAAGATGTACCATCCTAAAGGCGTACGATCGAAGACGAAGAGGGCGGTTATCGAGGGTTCGGGAAATACATGTTGAATGACACTCGAGCAAGTAAGAGCGAACAGTCTTAAACTGATTGTTGTTGCTGCTGTTGTTGATGTTGTTGTGGTTGTTGCTTATTGTTGTTGCTGTTGTTAATGTTGTTGTTCTGGTTGTTGTTGTTGTTGGTGGTGGTGGTGTTGTTGTTGTTGTTTGGTGCCGTCCCCCCCGCGACCCGGCCCGCGACCCACCCGCCACCCACCCCGCGACCCGCTCGAGACCCACCCATGACCCACCCGCGACCCACCCGCGACCCACCCGTGACCCACCCCGCGACCCACCCCGCGACCCGCCCGCGACCCACCCGCGACCCACCCGCGACCCACCCGCGAACCACCCGCGACCCACACGCGACCCGTTAAAAATAAGCGCCTGCGGCGGGCTTATTCAGAGCCTAGACTGAAGGCGTCCCCGCCGCCCCATCACTCTTATCCACGACTGCGGGGTGCTATATGTATGTGTATATATATATATATATATATGTATATGTAGATGTGTGTATATGTGCGTGCTCCTGTCGCTCTGGTCCTTTGTTTCTCCCGCATTGTGCATATATATATATATATATACATACATACATAAATAATGTTCTCTCTCTCTCTCTCTGTCTCTCTCTTTTGTTTACATCTCTCTCTCTCTCTATTTCTTTCTTTGTCTACATATATACATATAAGTATCCATACAGTCCTCTCTCTCTGTCCCTCCTCTCCTCCTCTCCCCCCTTCACTCGCTGTTTTCCCTAACAGCGAAGACTGATAGGTTTCTAGTGGGGTCATAAGAGAGCAAATTAATTTTCAGGGGGGTCCGGGCAGGATCCGGGGAGAAGTTGCGGAAGTCGTTTTAAGCAAACAGTTACACACTTCGTGGTCTTCGACGTCCCAGAACTCCATTCCCGGGCCACATTCTGAATGCCTGGGGCCAACTGTAGGCCATTTCGAGTTCCCAGAACTCCATTCCCGGGCCACATTTTGAATGCCCGGAGCCAACTGTAGGCCATTTCGTGGTCTTCGAGTTCCCAGAACTCCATTCCTGGGCATGATTTTGAATGCCCGGAGCCAACTGTAGGCCACTTCGTGGTCTTCGAGTTCCCAGAACTCCATTCCTGGGCATGATTTTGAATGCCCGGAGCCAACTGTAGGCCACTTCGTGTTCTTCGAGTTCCCAGAACTCATTCCCGGGCCACATTTTGAATGCTGAGGCAGGCTGATGCTGAGGCTGAGGCAGGCTGAGGCTGAGGCAGGCTGAGGCTGAGGCCGAGGCTGAAGGCAGACTGAGGCTGAGGCTGAAGCAGGCTGAGGCTGAGGCTGAGGCAGGCTGAGGCTGAGGCTGAGGCAGGCTGATGCTGAGGCAGGCTGAGGCTGAGGCTGAGGCTGATGCAGGCTGAGGCTGAGGCAGGCTGAGGCTGAGGCCGAGGCTGACTGAGGCTGAGGCTGAGGCTGAGGCTGAAGCAGGCTGAGGCTGAGGCTGAGGCAGGCTGAGGCTGAGGCAGGCTGAGGCTGAGGCTGCAGGCTGAGGCTGAGGCTGAAGGCTGAGGCTGAGGCTGAGGCTGAGGCTGAGGCAGGCTGAGGCTGAGGCAGGCTGATGCTGAGGCAGGCTGAGGCTGAGGCTGAGGCTGATGCAGGCTGAGGCTGAGGCAGGCTGAGGCTGAGGCCGAGGCTGAAGGCAGACTGAGGCTGAGGCTGAAGCAGGCTGAGGCTGAGGCTGAGGCAGGCTGAGGCTGAGGCTGAGGCAGGCTGATGCTGAGGCAGGCTGAGGCTGAGGCTGAGGCTGATGCAGGCTGAGGCTGAGGCAGGCTGAGGCTGAGGCCGAGGCTGAAGGCAGACTGAGGCTGAGGCTGAAGCAGGCTGAGGCTGAGGCTGAGGCAGGCTGAGGCTGAGGCTGAGGCAGGCTGATGCTGAGGCAGGCTGAGGCTGAGGCTGAGGCTGATGCAGGCTGAGGCTGAGGCAGGCTGAGGCTGAGGCCGAGGCTGAAGGCAGACTGAGGCTGAGGCTGAAGCAGGCTGAGGCTGAGGCAGAGGCAGGCTGAGGCTGAGGCTGAGGCAGGCTGATGCTGAGGCAGGCTGAGGCTGAGGCTGAGGCTGATGCAGGCTGAGGCTGAGGCAGGCTGAGGCTGAGGCCGAGGCTGAAGGCAGACTGAGGCTGAGGCTGAAGCAGCTGAGGCTGAGGCTGAGGCAGGCTGAGGCTGAGGCTGAGGCAGGCTGATGCTGAGGCAGGCTGAGGCTGAGGCTGAGGCTGATGCAGGCTGAGGCTGAGGCAGGCTGAGGCTGAGGCCGAGGCTGAAGGCAGACTGAGGCTGAGGCTGAAGCAGGCTGAGGCTGAGGCTGAGGCTGAGGCTGAGGCTGAGGCTGAGGCTGAGGCTGAGGCTGAGGCTGAGGCTGAGGCTGAGGCTGAGGCAGGCTCAGGCGGAGGCAGGCTGAGGCTGAGGCCGAGGCTGCAGGCAGACTGAGGCTGAGGCTGAAGCAGGCTGAGGCTGAGGCTGAGGCAGGCTTAGGCTGAGGCTGATGCTGAGGCAGGCTGAGGCTGAGGCTGAGGCTGATGCAGGCCACTGCGACTGTCATCGCGAATGCGACTACGACTACGAGAACAGCAGAATTCTACAACTGGATTATCATCTGAATCTTAAGGGGAATGCTTCCAGATATGCTCCTACACACCGCTGTTAGGTTGCTTTGCCGGGATAATTGTTTATTCCTCTCTCTCTGTCTATCCTTCACTCGCTCTCTCCCGCTCTCTCTCTCTCTCTATCTATGTAGATGCCTCTCATTGTATCGCTGTGTCGCTCTGTCTCGCCTGCATCGTTCTTTATCTGCTCCCTCAGGTGACGATGCTGGGTTGCGTCTGGGTGGTGTTGGCAGGGCCGAGGGACTACCAGACGCACACGGTAGACAGCATAAACAAGGTGGGATGGTGTTTCTCCCCTCGACAGTCCTTTGTCGGGGAAGCTTCGAGATTCCATGCGGATTTCCGCCGCTTCGCCCTTTTGCCTTACACGGTGGGGCCTCCTTTCGTTTGTACATCCGCTGCTTGCTCGTGCCCCTGCTCCTCGCCCGTCCCGATTGCCTCGGCCGCACTCGGATGGCCTGCGGGGCTATCGGGCTCCTGGGCTCCTCGATAGGCTGACCCATCCTCCGCCTCACTCCGCTCCACACAGGAAAGGTTCAGTCTTAGATGCACTGTATTTGTGTCCGCCTAGATGTGTTCGGTGTTTCAGTTGAGATCCTCCTCCTTGCCCCGATTCCTGCTACGTCTATCGTTCCAGCTCTGGCCCTGGCTGCGACAGACAACTCGTCCTATGCCTATGCGCGACGTCACCCATACGCTCAAATAGGTTGTCTTCGAAATTGACATGGAGAAGAGGGCCATTTCAGAGAGTTTCGACTCACCACCTGCATCATTCAAATTTCGATGGCATGCTCCAGCATCACGACGGAGAGCAGCAGCGGCATCAGCACCGTTCCGACATCCATGAGTTAGCCGAGCCTCGGCGACCAGCACCACGACGGGAAGGACATGCAACTACGCCGGCACTTCGAAATCAATATCTTCTATCACAAACTACCAAAGTTGGTAGGCGCGCACCCCCCGCAGGCTCCAGCGGTCCGTGGACGACCTGTGCATGAGGCGCGCTATGGTCGAAGGAGTTTTTTCCGCAGCGTGCCTGGTTGCGCATGGTGGGTGAGAGAAATGCCACGGGACGCCTCTCCCTCCAGGCTCAGTTCCACGCGGTCTCCGAGTCGTTCCGCTCCGAAGAGGCTGTCTCCCAGGAGCTCCAGGCGTCAGCGGGGTGCGCTCACAGCTTGGCGGAGGCCGCGACCCAGGAGATGCGAGCGGAGAAAAGGGAAGATTGCGGAGCTCGATACGAAGCTCCGCACCTTGACCAAGGAAGCGCAAGGCACGCGAGGACACCGCCACCGCCGAGGCCGAGCTCGACCGAGCTGAAGTCGCCCTCGCGCTGGAGCAGAAGGCAATGGCCGCCTACAAGAAAGCGACGGAGAAACGCAACGAGAGGTTCGACAAGTTCAACCAGGAGCTCGGAGCCACCAGCGACGCGTTCTTCAACCTCTGCGAGAACTCGGCAAAGAAAGACAACGAACTCGCGAACCTGAAGAAGGATATCGAGGAGACGCCGAAGGCCCTCCAGACCACGCGCGCCAACGAGCTCGCCAAGCTGGGGCGGGACAACAACGAGGATCCGACGCATGAACGTGACAGGCCACGGCGACTGCAGTCTGGCGCGGCCTACCCGCGGGAAGCGCAAGAGCGCTTAGATAGCCGCGCGCAGAGACCGAGCGCAAGGAAACTCACCCACGCACCCACGGGACACGACAGATGCCACGCCAGATTGCCAACGCCGCGGTATCCATGCTAATGCAGCTGACCGGCCACCTCCACCAGGCAGAGCGAACCGACGCGGAAAAGGGACGCCCAGGTAGAGAGCGACTGGCAGTTTTCCAACGCGGATCCCCCAGCCACATGAGGAAGTACACCAACGCGGAATGGGCGGCCTGGAAAGCGCAGAAGAAGGGACGTACCGCGAACGAGACGAAGCCCTCATCTTGGCCGGCCGAGAATCACCAGCGCCCCAGCGGCGCGCGAGACAACAGCGATGCTTGCGCATTCGGCCCTGAGCTCCTGACGCAGAAGCTCCTGACCGCAGGGGGCTTCCGCGCGGCCGTCGTCGCTCCGCCGCAACGGCTCCGCGGGCACGACGGCCCCGCGGAAGCACCGCGCGGCGGGGCGGCCGCGGCCGCGCGGAAACCAAGGGTGCCATTGGGGCACCCAGGGCGCCGCTGGGGCTGCCCGCGGGGGGCGCAGAGGTCAGACGAAACGGGTTACGCGCTGACGCAACGCGTTGCGGCTGACACGCGCCAGGAGAGGTGGGGGATAACATGCGGGCGTAGCCGTTGGGGCCTTCGGTGGGGCTCCCTAGGGGGCCGCGAAACATGCGAGGGATGTGCCGAAGTGAGGGGTGCGGGGGCGCTGCCACGGGGGCCTTATGTGGGGCTCGCTATGGGGCCGCGAAAGTTGTGAGGGGTGCGCCAAAATGAGGGGGGGTGGGGCTTGCGAACGCAGCCGCTGAGGCCATAGGTGGAGCTCCCCACTGGGCCACGAAACGCATGATGGGGCGTGCCGAAGTGGAGGGGGTGGCGGCGCGCAGGCGCAGCCACTGGGGCCTTCGGAAGAGCTCCCCATGGGGCAACGATGCGCGCGATGGGCGTGCCGGATTGTGGGGAGGGGGGGGGGGCGGCGCGCGGGCGCAGCCGCTGGGGCCTTCGGTGGGGCTCCTTTTATGGGGCCACGCCAGAGTGTGGGGGCGGCGGCATGCGGGCGCAGCCACGGGAGCCTTCGGCGGAGCTCCCGCTGGGGCCGCGAAGCGTGCGAGGAGCGTACCGAAGCAAAGGGGGGCGGCGGCGCGCGGGTCGTGCCACTGGGGCCTTCGGTTGAGCTCCCTGTGGGGCCACGCGGCGTGCGAGGCGCGTGCCAAAGAAGGGGTGGGGGCGGAACGTGTGAGGGGTGTGGAAAAATAGGGGCGGCGGCGTGCGGGTTCAGCAATTGAGGCCGCAGGTGGAGTTCCCTACAGACAGTTCGGTCACGTTGGTACGATTTGAGCGAGCCCGAGTACGAGCGCGCCCGCGCATGCGCGCGGCCTGAATCTACAGAGGGCGCGCGGGCAGGAGTTCTCACTGCCACGCAGGGGGAAGCTGCGCGCGGATTGTTTCGACGGCAGCTTCCCGGGCACAGTGCCGCAGGGGGCGTCGTGTCTCGGACAAGGCCAGAGCAGCAGTGAATGTTCGTTTGCAGAATGCGGCGCGCAAGCCTGACACTCTGTTCGCAGATCGGGGGCGAGGGTTTTACATGACGACTAGCGGTGCTATCGCACCGGAGCGCTGAGGGGCGCTGGCGCAGAATAGTTTGAAGGCAATCATGGGCGACAATGCTGTCGCGTAGCCTGGAAGCTTACAAGACGTTCTGTTACGCGAAACGGCGGCGTCGCATCTGCGACGCAGGTTGTCGCGGAACACATCTGCGAAGTGCTGGCGGGAGTCGCGCGAAGACTACGCGCGGCGACTGAAGCGCTGCTGTGAGAAGGTGAATATGGAGCGCGACGTGGAGGGCCCCTGCAAAGGGCCGCCAAAGCGCATGAAACCGCTGCAGGACAGAGACGGCGACCGCTTGAGAAGAAGTAGTTGCGCGACGTTCGCCAACAGAGCGGGGCGCGAAATGGATTGAGCCTTAAAAAAAGAAACAGCAAAGCGCAGGTCAGCGGATAGCGTAGCGGCGGGCGGCGGCGGTGGCGGGCGGGCGGCGGCGGGCGGCAGTGGCGGGCGGCGGGCGGCGGGCGGCGGGCGGCGGCGGGCGGCGGCGGCAGCGGCCGGCAGCGGCGGTCGGCAGACGGAAGAACGGCGCAGTTAAGATTTAGGGAGGGCTGCGCAGCAAAATTCTAGAAGGGTCTTCCCCCCCCTTGGTCGCCACCGCCCCCTGCCCTCTCCCGTCGTTCGGCCCCGGGGATCGTCCCTGCCTCTAGTTGATGCTATACAAGGGTAGAGCCGTCGGATAGAATCCCCTCCAAACGCAATAGTTCTGCAGCATTCCAGGACTCGGATCCCTTCAAAACGTACCGGATCCCCATTGGATCCCCAGCGGCTCCCCGCCCGGGCCCCCAGGCCTGGAGGCCCGTGGCAGGGTTCAGCATCCCGATCCCAGACCGTCTTGAATTTCTTCGGGGGGCCCCGCACTCGCTTTCAGGGGCTCGAGGGCTCGAGGTTGCGCAACTCGCCTAGCAGCTGCCGACCCCCCCGCCTGGTTGAACCGATCCTCAAATTCGTACCAAGTTACCTAACCGTCTGTATGGGGCCACGCAACGTGTGAATGCCATGCCGAAGTGAGGGGGGCGAAAGCTTGCGAACGCAGCCTCTGGGGCCTTAGCTGGAGCTCTTTACGGGGCCACGAAGCGTGTGAGGTGTGTGTGTGTGTGTGCCAAAGTGAAGGGGGTGGCGGCATGCGGGCGCAGCCACTGGGGCCTTCGGTGGAGCTCCGAATGAGGCCACGAAGCGTTTGAGGGGTGTGCCAACGTGGCGGGGGGTGTTGATGATGACGATGATGGTGACAATGGTGACGATGACGATGATGATGTTACTGAAGATGATGGTGATGATGGTGATGGTGATGGTGATGGAGATGATGCTGATGATGGTGGTGACGACGGCGATGATGACGATGGTAATGATTATGATGAGGATGAGGATGAGGACGACGATCTTGATGGTGATGAGGATGCGGTTGGCTATGCTGATGATGATGCGGATGATGAGGATGATGATGATGATGATGATGATGAGGAGGATGGTGATGATGATGATGCTGATGATGATGATGATGATGATGATGATGATGATGATGATGATGATGATGGTGCTGATTATTACCAGGACCCGAATGACAACGAAGAGGCATGCAGGTAACAGAGCCCAATCTTTGAGGAGGGGAAGGGGAGGAGGAGAGGAGGAGGGGGGACGTGGGGGCTGTCTTTTCAAAACGAGGACCCAGCACCACAGGATGATCGGGAAAATGGGGGTACATCAATTATGTAGCCGACCCCCTGCTCGAAGAGTCACGCATCGCCTCCGTGCGAGGCGACGACTTCTTCACTTGGGCACGGGCTGCAACGGCGTCGGCCCGAAACCCCTGCGCGCGTCCACGAAGCCCAAAAGCTGGCAGCCTTCTCAGGTGCGCTGGCAGGGTCGGGCTACCTCCGCACCGCAGGGTTAATTTCGACGCCTCCGATTCGATTCGATTCGATTGCGATCGCTTCCGATTTGGATGCGATTGGATTTCGGAGTCCCATTTGGATTTCGAATTCTCAATGAAGGCCTTACTACCCTGTCGATTTCCGCCGATTCGACTTCTTCGACTTGGCTGTCGATTTCCACCGATCCGGCTCATTTCGATCGCCGTTTCGAATTATCGATTCGATTCTGGGCTCTCCTGCACCACAAGCGGTCGCGGACCACCAGATGGACAATTGGGCGACAACCTGGAAGGCGTAGCAAATGTCCCCGCAGGAGGAGCTGGACAGCTGTAGTGGTCCCGCCGCCGATGGCCGTCTTCCTGATCAGGAAAACCGCGCCATCCGCGAGCATCAATGCGATTTGGGTTTGCTCGATCGACAGCGCGACCTGGAGGTGCGGCCTCGCACGATCTCGTTGCAGGCGTTCCGCGAGGCAACCAAAAATTCTCGTGGAAGACTTCGGCGGGCATTGGAGGCCTGCGCCCTCGGCACTGGGGACTGGTGGAGTATGAGATCATGGCTGCAATGATCAAGCTGTCGCATTTCTGCGAGACCTGGTCTGCGCGGCCCTGGGACGCGCAGTTTGTGCGGACCTGGTTTGCGCGGCCTTGGGACGCGCGAAGCTTGCCGAAGGTTTTCGCCCGATCGCCCTCGCGTCTTGTCGCGGGCTCGCGTCCTGGAGGTGCAGGCTTCGGCCTTGGGCCGCTGCAGCTCCGTGCCCCTATTTCTTCACAGGCCAGGGCAAGTGTACCTTGGACGCCGCCGCGCAAGTGATGCTAACAGCGAGATGGCCCTTGCCACCGATCAGGCTTCGGTGGTTGCTTTGGTGGACATCGAGAAGTCTTTCGATCGGATGGAATGGGAGCTTCTCGTCAGCGCAGGCATTCAGCAAAACTTCCTTTTCCACGTCTTGCGCCGCGCCGCCTCTCATGGCACGGGACGTACTCGTGCGCAGAGTGTGCGATTCAGGGGGTCGTTTCTGGTTGCGCATTCGCCATGTACCTCTTGCAGCTGCTCATGTGCACTCCCATGGAGTCCCTGTGGCGCCGCAGCGCCGCCCTCCATCATGGCGTCGTGTGCGACTTGGGCGTCTACGCAGACGACGTTACCAACACCTTCAGGGGTGCCCCTCGCATACTCGTAGATGTAGCCACTCAGTGTATTGACGAGTTTACGATTGTCTTTGAGGACGACCTCAGGCTGCCTACTGCACGGTATAAGGCGCACGTAGTGGCATCACACGACTGGATCGCTATGGCGATTGCCCGAAGGCCTCGGCGGTCGGCTTCCGTGCGTGCAAGGCCTTGAATTCGCTGAGAGTTGAGGTGCGTGCGGGGCGGCATCTCGGGTACGCCACGCTGCGTCGACGGACCCTTCGGCTTCGTAGACCCCCAGATCACGGCCTGGACTAGACTTTTGATTCAGTAGTCGAAAATGGCAGCGGACCTCTGGTTCCTCGGCGGTGACGTGAAGTTGGCCTGGCGTGGTCAAGTTTTTGCTGTTTTGTGGGGTCGGCGCCCCTGTTCCGCCGTGCGTAGCCCTGCTGGCGCGGCCGACCAGACCGCCGCCGCCGCCGCCCGAGCGGGGGCGAGGGACAGGGAGGGAGGGGGGGTCCGATGCCACCACGTTGGCCGCGGACGCCTGCACCGCGCCGTCATCCTGGGGACCAACGTGCCGTGCCTCCCATGAGCCCACGAAAGTGGCGACAATTGCGCAGCTCCCAGCCCAAAAGGGGTCCGCGAGGTCCCAAGTCATCTGCGCTGCCCTCACCTCCACCGTGCTTCCCAGGAGCCCGCGACAATTGCCCCCGAGGGAGCGCGCAGGGTGCAGGAGGAGGCAGGAGGGCAGGAGGAGGAGGAGGAGGAGGAGGAATAGGGGGAGAATGAGGATGGAGTGGAGACCACAGTGCTCTATTCAAAACGAGAACCGAACACAGGAGGGTTGGAAACAAACTTAGTCCTCCCCCTGTGCAGATGCTCCGCCTCCGCCTGCCTCCCTCTTGCTCCTCTGCGCCATCCTAGCCTTCCTTTCCACACAGCTCACTCTGATATCGTGCCCATTTGCAGGCCCGCGCCGTCTCTCTCCTCCGCCGTACCCCCACCGCTGCGAAGGCATGGAGTAGCTTCCCGTCCGTCCTGGTGATCGCGACGACGGCGGTATATCTCGCGGTCGCCGGGAGCTGGGGACGTCTCGCCAGGAGGGACTTGTTGCATTCCGCGTAGCGCGGCCCACCACCCCTCCCCCCGCGGCGTGCCTCGCGGCACTCTCCCGGCCGGCGTTATGGCAGCGACGAGTTGGACACGTCGCGTACACGCGGATAGGAGCATGCCATGGATCGTGTTCTTCGTAAGTTGCGCTGCTTTGCTGCGTCTGGCGATCTATCTCGCCTGTACTGCCGATGCTGTCCCCCAGTAAGCAGATCACATACAGAAGGCTCACAGACGTCGCGAGGAACTGATGTTCACAGGAGGAAGTGGTCACAGCTTCGCAGCCCCAGAGGATGCAATACCTCGACACTTCTACTTGCCCTTCGCCTAGCCCTGTGACGGGACAGCAGAGTTAGCGAACAAAAGGGGGAAATAGTGAATGAGTCACAGAGAGAGAGAGAGAGAGCATCTCTCTGCGTGGTCCATTGTGCAACAGCACCCTGGCCTGCTCCTGCTGCGACGTTGGCCGATCCTCGCTGTGGCTTTCAGATAGACTGTCTACAAGCACGCATGCGCCAATTCGGCCGGAGGAACAGAAGCACAAACCCTCATGCGCGAAGAATGAGGCGCACATGCATGACCCCGCAAGCATGCAACAGAGCAAACAAGCAAGCAAGCTCGCGGTCAAGAAGGGCAGCATGCACAAGAGTAAACACACTAATTTCCTCAACAGCGTCTGCTCTACACATAAACTGGGGAATTCCTCAAAGGCTCGCAACCGTTGTGGACTGAATCTTAGAAAACCTTCAACACAGACAGTCGCATTAGACAACACGTAGAGACTCGCACCACACGTCGTTGCAGATGTCAAGCACGAACAGCTTGGTCAAGGCATACCCGAAAGATGGTGACGCCTGGACCCCAAACACATAGGTACCTAGGTCTCGCTGTGGCCCCACCTGCACTTAGAGATCACCCGAGCTGTCCAGAAACGTGTCCTCGCCAGGGGTCTCAGGCAGGCAGCGTCTGTTCTGAGAGGTCTTGAAAATAGTGCGTGGCAAAGGCCGTCCAATGCGTGATTCCGCAGACTCCGCACGGCGTGTGCTGTGCCGTGCTGGTGTGCCGTGCGGTGCCGCTGTGCCGTGCCGTGAGTCCGTGAGGTGTCGTGCCGTGCCGTGCCGTCGTGCCGTGTTGTGCCGCATCGCGTCTTGTGCGTCGGGCGCGCGCCGCGTCGTGCCTGGCCGCCGTGCCGCGGCGCGTCGTGCCTCGCAAGGCGTGGCGGGGCCGTGCCGTCTCGTGCCGTGTTCAGCTTGTGGTTTCGTCGGGGGTGTGGTTTGCCTTGCTGTTCCGTGTCGCAGTGGCCCCCGTGTTCGTCCTTAGCGTATTGCTCTATTCATCCCCGTCCTTGCTCGTCGTTCGTCCTCCTCCCGTTCCTCCTCTTGATCCGCCCTTCCCCCACGGCCGCACCTCTCACCCTCGTCTTCTTCGTACCATTGCGCGTGCTGGCTAGGGTTTCAAGCAGCATGCGAGAAAAAGTACGCGAACGGCACATGCTTAAGAATGACATCCCGCGAGTACGAAGTGTCGTGAGGGTGGAACTGCAAGCACGCGAACGCAGTACGCAAGCATGTGCGAAATCTGAGTTTTCAAGCCGGCGCGTGCAAGTGCGCAAGCCCGTGTTGCCCAAGCTCGGAACTCGCAGCAACTTCGGCTGGTGTTACTCCGTGGAAGGTCCTTTACACGCGGCTGATGGCCGCAGCAGCGACGGTGAGCAAATAACATCCGCACGAGACCCCATGCCGCCTTGCCCCACGCAGCCTGGCGGATCGACGATCGGCAGAAAAAGGATCATGGCCGCCCTGCAGCCCGCTGGCGCGCTGGCCCCCCGTGGAGCTCGCGGCGCTCTCGGCGGCATTCGCTTGGTACGCCATGCTGCTCTCAAAGTGCGTTTCCACGCCCTCGGCCTCGGCAGCAGGGGTGGTGGGGGGGGGTGGGCGGCGGCCCCCAGACCCCCGACATCGTGAGTTTCTCGCAAAGGGGTCCCCTGCGCGTCTGGATTCATTTCTCCGGGACCGACTTTTCATCCCCCGAGTCGTCTTTTGACGGTCTTGTCCTGGGGCGCGGAAAGCCCCTGGAGGCCCCAAATGTCCAAAGACCTCCCGTCGCGATCTCTTCACGACGAAGAGGAGGTCTGGGGCCCGCGCAGACCTCGCTAGCGCACCCGCAACCCGGGGAGGGCTATGGCGGCCAGACGGTCTGGGGCCCGTCTGGTTGCCAGGGGCCTTCGCCAGGTCGTTTCTTTTCGCTGCGAGGGGATGCGGACGGTTGCGACCGCACACGGCTCACGTGTCGTTCATGATTTGTGGCCGTCCTCCTGACTCAGGCCAGGTGGGTCTGGTGATCCTTCCCTCTTCCGCTTCCCCTTCGCCTCCCCTGCCCCTCCTTCCCGTCTATTCCCGTAGCATCCCCGCCTCGCCCATCCCCCTCTCTCTCACACCTCCCTTTCTCCTTGGACGAGGAGGAGGAGGAGGAGGCAGAGGGGAAGGCTCAGATCGCCCATACGTTGGAATTGCTCGAACGCCTCACCCGCCGTATTGCCATCCCCGTAAACACAAGTCCCTCGGGGAACGCGTCGCTGTTCAGCTCAATTGTTGCGGAGCCTCCCGCCGAATAATTGAAATTCGCCCGGCTCGATCGCATGCCCTTCGCATCTTAACAATTCAGCGTGTCATCGGTAAGCGCGATTACAACCTAGGAGCGCCACGCATGCCATGTGCGCCACGGGTTCCAGATGCATCAGGCACTCCAGAAGCCCGAGCGTGCCAGGCGCGCCAGGTGCGCCACGTGCTCCACGTGCGCCAACGTGCTCCAGCCGCGCCAGCTGCGCCACGTGCGCGGCGCGCGCAGAACGAGCCAGGTGATTGAACTGCCGCAGCAAGCAGTGCGCCGGCACGCCCGCCGCCCCTGTCAAAAGTAAATGCAAAGTGGTCGCGGGTCGCCCGCGCATGCTCCAGATTTGGAGGCAAAACGTGTGGGTGTTTGTCTTGTTCCCCACCCTCCCGTGTTGGGTTCTTGTTTTGAATAGCATTGCGGTCGCACACCTTCTTCTCCCTCTCCTTCTCCTCCCCCCTCCTCCCCCCTCCTCCTGCCTTCTGCTGCGCTGCTCCCCAGGTGGCTGCGAGCGGCGCAGCCGTCGCGACTTTCGTGGGCCCCTGGGAGGCACGGCGGAGAAATTAGGGGAGTGCCCGAGACCTCGCGGCTCCCTGGGTAATTGTGACTTGCTGCGACCTGCACAGCTGTCGCAACTTTCGTGGGCTCCGTGTAGGCACGTCGGAGTAGGGGAGTACCCTCGCAGCTCCCTGGGAGGCTGCGAGCGGCGCAGCTGTCGCAACTTTCGTGGGCTCCTGGAAGGCACGGCGGAGTTGGGGAGTACCCGAGACCTCGTAGCTCCTTGGGATGCTGCAAACTGCGCAACCGTCGCCACTTCCGTGGGCTCCAGGGAGGCACGGCGGAGTAGGGGAGTACCCGAGACCTCGCGGCTCCTTGGGAGGCTGCGAGCGGCGCAGCTGTCGCCACTTCCGTGGGCCCCTGGGAGGCACGGCGGAGAAAGTAGGGGAGTACCCGAGACCTCGCAGCTCCCTGGGTGGTTGTGAATTGCGCAGCCGTCGCAACTTTCGTGGGCTCCTGGGAGGCACGGCGGAGTCGGGGGCCACGCGGAGCCAGCCGAGACCTCGCGGCTCCCTGGGAGGCTGCCAATTGCGCAGCTGTCGCCACTTTCGTGGGCTTCTGGCAGGCACGGCGGAAGTGAGGGTAGCGCAGATCATGATGTGTGGAGCGTTCATACAGATATTCGCCTTCCGTGGAGAAGGGGTTGGGTACGTCTCGGGTGATATTGTGACAGAGATGGTCGGCCTGCGCGCAGCAAGCAATATGCCGGCACCCCCGCCGCCCCTGTCAAAAAACCCATACAATGTGTTCGCGGGGCGCCCGCGCATGATCCAGATTTGGAGGCAAAGTGCATTTTGTTACCTAACAGCGAAGACTGATAGGTTTCTAGTGGTGTCAAAAGAGCATCATGACTCCTCAGGGGGGTCGGGGCGGGACCCGGGGCGGCTGCCGCCGAAGCCGAAATCGCTTGGGACGTCCTCGCAAAATCGCTCTTGGCGCTCCCAGAACTCCATTCCCGGGCCACATTTTGGATGCCCGGAGCCAACTGTAGGCCACTTCGTGGTCTTCGAGTTCCCAGAACTCCATTCCCGGGCCACATTTTGGATGCCCGGAGCCAACTGTAGGCCACTTCGTGGTCTTCGAGTTCCCAGAACTCCATTCCCGGGCCACATTTTGGATGCCCGGAGCCAACTGTAGGCCACTTCGTGGTCTTCGAGTTCCCAGAACTCCATTCCTGGGCATGATTTTGAATGCCCGGAGCCAACTGTAGGCCACTTCGTGTTCTTCGAGTTCCCAGAACTCCATTCCCGGGCCACATTTTGAATGCTGAGGCAGGCTGATGCTGAGGCTGAGGCAGGCTGAGGCTGAGGCAGGCTGAGGCTGAGGCCGAGGCTGAAGGCAGACTGAGGCTGAGGCTGAAGCAGGCTGAGGCTGAGGCTGAGGCAGGCTGAGGCTGAGGCTGAGGCAGGAGGCTGAAGGCTGAGGCTGAGGCTGAGGCTGAGGCTGAGGGCTGAGGCTGAGGCTGAGGAGGCTGAGGCTGAGGCAGGCTGAGGCTGAGGCTGTGACTGCGACTGCCGTTGCCGCTGCGACTGTCATCGCGAATGCGACTACGACTGCGAGAACAGCAGAATTCTACAACTGGATTCTCATCTGAATCGTAAGGGGAATGCTTCCAGATATGCTCCTACACATCGCTGTTAGGTTGCTTTGCCGGGATAATATTGTGCGTTGACAGGGGTTGCTCGTCTGCGCGCAGTAAGCATGATGCCGACAGCCCCGCCGTCCCGGTCAAAAATCCACGAAAAGTGGTCGTTGGGTGCCCGCACATGCTCCAGATTTGAAGGCAGAGTGCACAGTGTGTTTTTCAAGGATAGTGGAGGGTGTGTGCCCATGGGCCCAGGTTGGCTTCCGGTCGTGAGGGGGACGGGCTGTCTATGAAGAGGGAGCAGCGATCAAGCTATCCTCGAGCCGCAAGCCGTCTCGCTCACTCCCACCCGGCCTCCCAACACAGAAGCACCACCCGAGTTTCGGCATGGGCGAGGACCGTCATCGACAACCATCGGGAGCCAATGCAGATGCCAGCCAGGTGCGCGACGCCCGCGAGGTGCGCCGCGCGTGCCAGGGCGCCCCCCATCATCCATGTCAAATGCAGGGGCTCCCGCGCATGGCCCCATACGTTGCCACAACGTGCGCGTTGAGTTGGTTTTCGACAGAGGTGGTGGGCCTGTACGCGCTGGTCTTTCGCTGCAAAGTGCATTTTGCATTGTACTTTGACATGGATGGGGGGGGGTCGGCACTGGCCCTGGTTAGGGGCTAGTTGATTGGGGGAGGGGGCGTATACTAATCGAGAGTAGTGGTGAGTCCCTCCCCTAAGGGATAGAAGGGGATTGGAAGAGCTAAATCGCTAAACCACTTACGCCCAGAGGGCTGGTGGGATCATCCCTTCGGTGTTTACATGCTTCCTGGAAGGGTCGGCAAGCCCACCTTGGGGAATCCCAGGGAAGCTCTCGGATAAGTCGCTGAGGAAGTGAAGAGACATGACTGCAGGCGACGGCACCTACCCCATCTGACCCCTTTGACACGGAATTCGATTCGACCTCTACCTTCAATGATTTTGTTGCGCACGCTGAACATGTCACTTGACCTTCACTCCCTGCCTCAACTGACTTCTGTCGCCATTGATTCCGGTGCCACCAAGGAGAGCGTTCCGGTGGTGAGGCTTCGCTGTTATGTGCGCCACAACTCAGCAGTAACACGTTGCGAAGCGAGGGCGAGGATTCGGTGTCCGAGTCGGTCGTAATGCTGTGAGCTACTTGGAGGCGTACGCATAAGCCAGCCGACATCTAAGGCTCTTGGTGACTTCTGTCAGTGTGGAGAACCAGGAATCGCTTTTCCTTTGTACCTTCGCAAATTGGATGTTTCTGTTGGTCGTGATCGCACCTGTGCGCGGCCTTTCGCAGAGCTGGGCAGAGCAGCCAGCGTTTCTTTGTCTAGCGCCTCTGCTGGGCGAGTTGCGGGAAGAAGAAGGGGGCTGCTAGGGACATTCGGAGGAGGAGGAGGACGAGGACGAGGGCGAGGACGAGGACGAGGAGGAGGAGAGGCGGCGGAGGAGAAGGAGGAGGAGTAGCGTCAGAGAGAGAGAGAGAGAGAGGAGGCACAAACATGAGGAGGGGAGATGCATGAGGATGAAGGGGTGAAGAAGGATGAGCAGGATGGGATAAGCAGGAGAAGCAAGACACAGCATGAAACATTGTTTGCCGAGTAGCTTGCCCTCCCACTGGATAATATATTGCAGCCGCGGCCGTCCACAACGACGAGGGCGGGGATCGATTGGGGCATGGTCGATACACGCGCGGACGCCAGCCCAGCGCGCTCCCGTGCACTGCCGCAGCACCCGCAAGACAGTATTGAGAGTTGCGTCGAACGCGTTACGCTTGAATGTCACAAGCGTCTGAACCTGCGTGGTTTAGGGGGGTAAGAGGTAAGACAGACAGACGGCAGCCGCGCCCAGACGGCGCATTGACAAGGAAAATTGTGACAGATGGCGACGTGCGGGCACATGCAAAACATACGAAACATGTAAACAATCAGTTGCGCTGCAGGTGGCTCGGTTGCCGGCCATGGGAAGACTCCTGTACCCCACGGGACGCGATGCGTTGACCTGCAGACAGCCAGAAAAGTGGAGGAGGGAGGAAAGAGAGGGAGGGGGAGAGGAGCGGAGCAGAGGCAGACATCAATCAATCAGTATTGCACCAAGCTTTGACAGCTATGCGCCAGCTCCCCTGGTCGCCTGGAAGATCTTGGAGTCGCTCCGGGCTTCGCCCAGACAGCTCCGAGGCTTGTGAACGCATGTACGTTGACCATTGCAGACGCGGTCTGCCTCTGGCACGAGCGCTACCCCACGCTCGAGGCAAGACTGTTGAGTGGCTCCCACTGGGAAACAACATACGTCTTGGTGGGAGACTGCTCGGAGATTCCTGGGCGAGCCTGGCATATAGCAACAGTTGTCGTTGCAACAGTTTTGTAGAGAGGCTGTGTGCTTTCGCTGTCTGCAGAACGGCCGCGTTACTAACTCTAGAGATACGCTGGTGGCATCTTGAAGATGATCCTCAGGCATCGCGCTTGAAATGCATCTAGGTTCGCCCTAGCTGCCTTCACCTCCGCGGGCTTTCTCAACATGTGTTCCGTTTGTATCGGCAGATCTTAGATGAGGAGGAGCAGGATATTCAGCGTTCCAACGTCGACGACGCTACGAAACGTTCGCAGGCGGCCCGTCTTCGTCGTCGCAAACTTCTTTGGCAAAAAAATCGGAGGCGCACGGTCTTGGGCTTTGTTGTTGTTCCCGAGGGCACCCCTACTGGCTCCAATGCTGAAGCGGCTCGTGTTCTTGGTGATCAGTGGGTTGCGGTCTTCTCTGCTCCTGAAGTTGACACGACTGAGTGGAATGACCTTACCCCCCACATCAAGAAGCTCGAGGGTCCGCTTAACCGTGAATCGATCCTGCCATACCTTGAAAGGTATGAGATGGTCTTAGGTCGTACGCACAGCACTCCTGGTCCTGACGGGCTACCCTATGATACTTGGAAGCACCCGTGCGCGTCTCGCCTCCTCTATTCTTGTTATTTCGCCCTCTTCGACGACCGCAGTTTCGCCCTTCCCGATGACATGTTCTGCAGTCTGATGGTCTTTCTCCCGAGGGCACGGACCCGAACGATGCACCTGGGTAGGCTCTCCCCCGTGCTGCGCCGAATACGCGTCCGCTCAGCTTGGGCAATGCAGACGTCAAGCTGTTAGCCACTGCCTGCATTTCGCCCGTCGTTGCCAACACCTCGCCCCTTGTCGAGCTCGAGCAGAAGTGTGTAGCAGGGAGGGACATGATTGAGAACGTAGTCAAGGCAGAGGCTTGGGGGGTGATGAGGTACATGAATGATGACAAGCAATCGGCATTTATCTCACCGATTTGGCTTCGGTCTTTCTCAGCTTATCGCAGAGCTGGCTTTTCTTTGTCTTGCGCGCGATGGGGATCTCCTCCCACATTATCCAGTTCTTTGCTATGGTGTATGCTTCGAATACTGCAACTATCACTGTTGGGGGGTCAACGCTCTCACTCGATCGACGCCCGCCCAGGTGTTAAGCAGGGGTGCCCTGCCTCCATGTTCCTATTCGTGCTTGCCGTCGCCCCTCTCCTGGACTGGGTCAGGCATAGGTGCTCCGCCTCCCTTGGCCTCCATCTCGCCTGCGCCGATGACTTTTGGTTTGGGGTGTTGGGCGTGTTATCCGATCTGGGTGTGCTCCCATCCGCGTTGATGGAGACGGTGCCCATTCCGAATCTACAGTTCAACTTCGGGAAGTGCCAGCTCATCCTGTGTTGTGCCACGGGTGCCGTCCATCTTACTGCTGTGTTGGAGACGTATGGTGCGCCATATTCTGCGTTGAAGGTTGTTCATTGGGACGGGCCCCTCGCGGCCACTGAAGTGTGGCCGGCTGCGATTCCAGGATTTATCTCCCGTGTGCACCAGACGCGACAACTCGGCCTAGGCATTGCGCAGAGCGCTTGTGCATTCCGCGTCATGTGTGTGTGTGTCTCGAAATTGCTCTTCCGACCGCAGCTCTATCCGCCAGATGCTTGCCTCTTGCACCTGTTCCGTGAGAGCGCGATGAAGTTCATCTCTGGGCCGCGGGACGCCATCTCGTGCAACGTTGCCACTAGTTGAAAACGACAGGCTTCCCGACCGAGTTTAACGACCCAAAAGCTGTCGTTCGAGCCGCTGCGATACGCTATTACATCAAGTCTGGTGGCCTCCACGGTATCTTGGAAGACCTCGACTGGGCCCGCGATGATTTCGAACACGTCCCCTACCGTTGGCATAGATGGCGGCATGAGCATAGCTTATTGGTGTATATTCGCTCCGCTCGCGATTGGTACTCTGGGCTGCCTGTGGGTCTCGTCAGGCTCGTCTTAGCTTCAACTTAAAGTGTACACCCACTTCAGGTCTATTGAGAGCTCGGAACCCGTGCGTGAAGCACTTCTCCGCAGACCACATTACTTCTGTCCCGATATCGGCATGAATCACATCGAGATCATGCGTGAGAACATCCGTCGTGCATGCCGTGCGTCGTGGATGCATCTGGGAGTGGCAGCCTTGAGAATGCTGACAGGCTCGATTTGCACGAGTGCCCGCTTCCGCACCTTGCCTCGTGGGTGCTTGTTTGGTTGCAGCGAACCAGGTTGCGGCGACACCGACTGCTTACGCCACTACTCTCACCGCCCTCGCCTCGAAGCATTGTTGGACAGATGGATGGGGCGTGCATTGTGTGTGTACCGACGTGAGATGAGCATGCATTGGTTTCCTTCCTGCCTCCTCCTCGCGTTTGATAACATGTCCGCCATGTTGACGCGTGCCGCCTGCATGGGTGCTTTGTGCTCTCAACGCGCGCCGCCTGTCGCACTCTGCTGCCCCCGAGATCGTGTTTGAGGCCCGCCTGAGGGTCACCTCTCGGCGGCGCCCGAAGCTCGCGGCAGCCTGGAGCGAGGCCGGCGTCTTTCGTTCCCGTCATCTGGCGAGGCCGGCTGCCCCCAGAACCGAAGCGCTGCCGAGACGGGCGCCAGGCGCCCTCGAGGCAGGTGTGAGCTTCCCGAGTCTGTACCGCAGTCTCCTCGCCAGATCCGAGCTCGGACTGCTCGGCAAACTCGTCGACCGCCTTCAACAACAAACTCTACCAACCCAGCGATAGATGGATGTTTTCTATATATATATATATATATATATATATATATATATATATATATATATATAAAAGCGATTCGAGGCCAGACATCAACTTGGATGAAATACGCGCTTCGAAAACTTGCAACTTGCGATGTTACTTAAATTCGCATGGTTCCTTGTAGCGCGCATTTTCTCAAATGCCCTTTGGCCTCTCCAAGGCGCCTGGTCAGTTCGCTGCGCGGCCGGCCGTCTGCACTCAGAAGTCCGCCGAGATACACGGCGCTCTCCTTGCGCGAGATGGCCGCGCCGTCGGGCCCTTTTGACGTTGGCGCCTGAGCGAATCCAGGGAAGGATGGCCCTCCCAGCGACGAGGTCTAATCCAAATTTCTGGCCAACCAGCACCGCTGTATCCGAAATGGGCGTTGGTGCCGAAATGGCCAGGTTAACGTGCATGTCGATTGCCTTCTCTTCCTTACCATTGGCACGCTGAAGATGAATCGGTACGTGGGCGACGCAGCCGCTGCTGAGTCGAACGCCAATCAGCATGCCTCACAGTCAAATCGCTGTCATTTGAACGTCGCGTGCGTGATGGAATTTGCGCATGCGCTTCTGCGCGGAATCTAGCAGAAGTTGGTCAGGCAATCCCCAATTACTTGCCCGGCTGCCCTTGCAACGCAAGAACTTTCCACCAGCTTGGCCAACGAGATGGAACAGGGAGAGCGCCCAGAAATCCGAAATTTGCAGGGGCGCATCTCCAGGGGCACCGTTAAGCATCCCAGCTGAGAGCCATCCAGCCCAGACATCCTAGCGCACAGATCGCGTCCGCTGCAGAGCGAATGATTCCACCCCGTGTGCGCGAACGGCGCTTGGTAGCCCAGCGGAGGGGCAGCTCCATGGTTTTATGCTTGACCCAGCCTTCCCACTGAGGTCCAGCTTGCATCAGAAACGAGCCAGAGTTGTGCAGGTACTTCGAATCAGAATTAGTGAATGAAAACAGACGAGCTGGATCGCCCTGCGCCGCCTTCGAGCTACCCAATCAGCGGCTGCAGCCATACCCCGCATCCATTTCAGGATGGTCTCCTTGGTCCCCGCAGCCTTCATGCCCCGGTAAATGGAGGCGCGTCCCCCTTAGCAAAACAGTGGAGCAAGTCGCCGTCATCCTGCGACCAGCA